AGGGATAACAATCCTGAGTGTGCTCTGGGATTAAATCACAGAATCACAGAACGATTTGGGTTGGAAGGGACCTTAAAATTCATTGGGGCCATGAGCAGGCCTGTGATGGAGAAAAGAAATGTGATGGAGAAAAGAAAGGAGAAAACAAAGAACACAACAAAGTTGGCCAAACCTGTTCAGAATGTGCTGCAGACAGAGCAGAGGAAGCTCTGGCTGGGGCTGGGGAAGAGAAGCAGATCTGGCAGCAGGATGGGCCACAGGAGCTCCCACAGCTCTGCTTCCACTGAGGGAAAGCTGGAGCTGCTGCCCAGGGACTGTAAAACCTCGAGAGGAAGGKAAGGTGTTGTGTCCATGGAGTGGGAGCGCCTCTAAACATCACCTTTCTCCTCTTTGGGCTTTGGAAGCAACGAGACATTCCTGAGGTCATCTCCACAGCCCATTTCTGGTTTTAGGGGTCACTTTGCTCGTGTCTGCCGTGTAACTTCTGCCAGGAGGTGCCAAACTGCAGCTGGAAGAGTCCAGAGGGCTTTGGGATTCTGGGAGAGGAGGAGTTTAAGGGGGAGGACCCCGAGGTGCCACCACCAGTGTTGAGGGGCCAGAGGCTGTGCTGCGTGTTCCTGTTCTTGGACATGGGATCAGCACCACCTCTGTAAGATCCCAAACAAGGGGATGTGCCTGGATCCACATTCCAAAGGCTGGATGAGTTGGGAATGCAAAGAGCTGCACCCCAGGGCTGGGTGAGGGACATTTCTGCTGTGACATGCACCGGCTCCCGGTGCTGGGAGTTCCGTGGGTATTTGGATCCCACAGAGCCGTGTTTGTTACGTGTTCAGGTCACTAAAGGAGCTCTTGGATTTTTCTGGGCATGGAAATGGCTTTTACTTGCTCCACTTTTCTCCTGCTGGCAGCTCACCTGAAGGTTTYTCCTTGCTGCAGAGGAAGCAGATGGCGATTCCACAAAACTCCAGAAAACATCAACAACTGCAGAGCTGATTCCCTGAGCTGACAGAGTGCCCTGAGAGGAAAGTATTTTATAAACTGTCCCAACTTYTAGATTTTTCCTCCTAAACTTCCTTTTGAGAGTGGGGGGCCTTAACATGATCCAACTTTACATCTGTGATGTAACCCAAATCTGGGGTTGCTTTATCTGACCTTTCCAGAGGATTTCAGAGAATCATGGAACCATCCAGGCTGGAAAAGACCTCCCAGATCATCSATCCCCWGCCATGGCAGGGACACCTCCCGCTGTCCCAGGCTGCTCCCAGCTCATCCAACCTGGCCTTGGACACTGCCAGGGATCCAGGGGCAGCCACAGCYACTCCCAAGTGATTTAATCYTGACTCTGTTTTTCAAAGTTTATTAATATKTCTTGACTTTTTCTCTCCCATGTTTCCATGGAATGATAAAATGTGACCAAATAAAACAACGAGGCAGCTCAGGGCAGGGTGGAAGGGTGGATTGYCCTGCCAGAGTGGCCTTTTCTCACACAGAGAGCCATGAAAAGCAGCTCAGGTTCATTAGCAAGGCAGCCTAATTGGGCTGGAATTGCCAGGGATGGGAACAGCACTGACAGCCCGAACCTGTGTGGATTCAAGAGCACCCCCAAGATCAATACCAGTGTTTATGATATTTTACAAAGAAAATCACTTGTCCTTGACTTTGGAGGAAGGGAGAGCTCCCTCGCACACCCCACGGGTGTCAGCTGCTCTGTCGATACCAACCACTTTGTGAAATGGCCAACAAAAGCCTCTCCTTGCCATCCCACCCCTCTTAGAGGGCACAGCCACCATGACTTTGATTCTCGTGGCTCTGGAGGCCTCTCAGTTAAAAGCTCTCTAATAGATTGGGGAGTATTGATGACRATAATGAGCTTATGGGTGAAATCCTGACCTCGCTGGAGTCAGTGGAGCCACAATTSCAGCATTTGATAGATCCCCACACCCATATGGAGCCTGTCCATGTGCTCTCAGCAGATCAAACCTCTGCATTGATTCACTCTTTTCATTCACTCCACTTGCCAGCAGTTTGCTTACCAAACATCTTCGAGGTGTGAGCTAATGACATTAATGTCTTTTCCTCCTGCTTAAAGCAGAAAATAAAATTAGCCACCTTTTCCCCCAGAAAAAAGGAGGGAGGTTGGGTCTGTCCTGCCTTTCTTCTACACAGAGAGATTTTAGGGCCTTTTGGATRTTTGAGTTTATGGAAAATGCAGTAGAGGGTTTAAAAAAGTCTTCCCATGCCATGGGCTGGACATCTCTTTCATGTTGCACAGCAAAGCGAGGCATGAAAGGAATGGATAATGGCTTATAATAGGCCGAAGAAGGAAAAAAAAAAGAGAGAGAGGGAAAGGAAGAGAGAAAGAAAGAAATAGGGAAAGGAAGAGACGAGAAATAGGGAAATAGGGAAAGAAAGCATCTGTCTCCTGTTGCACAGCAAAGCAAGGCATGAAAGGAATGGATAATGGCTTTTAATGAAAAAAAGAGAAAGAGAGAGAGAGGGAGAGAGAGAGGGAAAGAAAGAGGGAAAGAGAGAGAAAAAGAGAGAAAGAGAAATTAAGAAAGAGAGAAAGAGAGAGAGAGGGAAAGAAAGAAAGAAAAAAGAGAGAGAAAGGAAAGAAAGCAAGAGAAAGAAAGAAAGAAAGAAAGAAAGAAAGAAAGAAAGAAAGAAAGAAAGAAAGAAAGAAAGAAAGAAAGAAAGAAAGAAAGAAAGAAACAGAAAGCATGACAGTAAAGAAAAAAAGAACGAAAAGAGTGAAAAAAAGAGTGATAGAACAAAAGAATGAAAGGTCAGCTTTATGGAACAAGATCCACTGGTTCTCAGTTCCGAGAAAGAAACCATTTCCCTTGTTATTGACATCCAAACACTTCCAGGTGTTTTTGCCAGCACTTTCTGAACTGTTCTCACTGCGGTCACAGCTCCTGCCTGGCTGGGAATTGCTGCTGTAAGAGCGGGAGTGTTCCCAGCACACCGACCCTTGGCAGGGGAATGGATTTATCAGGATGGAGCAAACACAGCCCCCGCTGACCACTTGGAACTGCCTGCAGCATTCATGGCTGTCCAAAGGCCTGGGTCAGGCTGATATGGAATCACTGGGCARGAAAAGCTCACAGAACTGACCACCTCTGCTGGGCTGGAAAGGTATCYCAGAAAACCACACCAGTCTTTGGACGGGTTGTCTCCATCTTCTCTGAGAAGCCTTGATGCAGTTTGTGTCCATTCCTTGCACCTCAGGGTCTGTCACTGRGGAGTTTRCAGGGTMAATGATCACAGAATTTGGGGTGGGAAGGGACCTTAAAGRTYATCSAGTGCCACCCCTGCCCTGGGCAGAGACACCTTCCATCTGCCTCCAGCCCTGGGGCCCAGCACAGGAAGGACGTGGAGCTGCTGGAGAGARCCCAGAGGAGGCAGCAGGATGGTCAGAGGGATGGAGCAGCTGTGCTGGGAGGAAAGGCTGGGAGAGCTGGGATTGTTCAGCCTGGACAGGAGAAGCTTTGGGCTGAGCTCATTGTGGCCTTGCAGGGCCTGAAGGAGCCCACAGGAACCATGGAGAGAGACAATTTGCAAGGGCTGCAGGGACAGGAGCCAGGGAATGGCTTCCCAGTGCCAGAGGGCAGGGCCAGATGGGATATTGGGCAGGAATTGTTCCCTGGGAGGGTGGGCAGGCCCTGGCACAGGGTGCCCAGAGAAGCTGTGGCTGCCCCTGGATCCCTTTGAGTGCCCAAGGCCAGGCTGGACATTGGGGCTGGGAGCAGCCTGGTCTGTGTGTTCGTGGGATTCTAGAATCATGGAATAGTCTGGTTGGAAATGACGTCAAAGCCCATCCAGTGCCACCCCTGCCATGGGCAGGGACATCTTCCACTGTCSCAAGAGTGCTCCCAGCCSCAATGTCCAACCTGKAACATGAAATGRAGWAGTCTGRKCTTCTTTGCTCATTATTTTGATTTTTGATAGTTTGAATACATCGTGGAATTATGGCATTTTGTGAGGATTTCAGAAGGAAATGTCTGGATTTGAAATTCCTGACAAGCAGCGGTCACAGTCCATGAGTGCTGGCACAGAGGGGGCCTTATGTCCCAAATGGAAATTCCCAAAAAATCACTGGAGGAGCAGGAAATATCCCTGCTAACCCTAATGCACCTTCAGGTGCAAAATATCGGSATTCATCCTAGGAAATGAGCACATTTCTTTACACGGGATTTGGGAACAGGATTCTAGAAACTGTTTTTCCACTCTCTGTAACACGTAGATGGTGCAGAATGCAAAATCCCCTCCAGAGCTAAATGCCCATTCTGTGACAAATTCTGAGAACTTTTTATTTTTAATTTTTTCTATGTTTAATATCAAATGTCCAGTTCCGTTCTATTCCTGACATTTGTAAAAAAAACCCGATTCTGAGCCACTGAGAGGGTTCRTTTCCCTTGTGCTGTGTTTCAAAAATGCGCTGAAATTTTATTTTGGTCAGGTCAAAACATTGTAACATAACTTCAAATATTGGCTGTAGCAGGCTGTCAAATACATCTGTCACAGTGCCTTTGAAATCYGCATTTCAAGGGACTGTAACAAAACAAACCAAAAAAGTTAAGTCAGAGCAAAATTAATACCTTGTCACAATGAAACATCCATGAATTATGGACACGAGGAACCAAGCAGGCAGTCAGTGCTGGAAATCACTGTATCCTCAAGAATTTCAGGTTTTAGGGAAAACGATGCCTTTTTTTGGGGGAAGAAACAAAGGGATGTGACCAGTTCTGCTTCGCAGGGCACAATTCCAAATAGAACCGTAATTTTTAATAAAATACCTCTTGAATCACTTTCCTGTGAACCCTTGCTTGGCGTTGGACAGGAACATCCAAGTTTTGCTGCCGGCAGTTCTGCACCCTCATCCTTTCCTCCTTCTCTGGGAAGAAAGGGAAGGAATAAACAATGCAATGGCAAACCTTGCCATCAATTCGGAGTTACCTATCACAGAATTCCCGTGGCCGTGCCCCATCCTGGGCCACTCACACGTAGTCGCTCAGTCTGTAGCCGCTGTGGGATGCGGAGGTCAGGGAAGGAGTGTGGTTTCCGAGGAAAGGAGCCTGGTTTCCCAGGGAAAGAGCCTGGTTTCCCAGGGAATGAGCCTGGTTTCCGAGGGAAGGAAACTGGTTTCCCAGGGAAGGAGCCTGGTTTCCCAGGGAAGGAACCTGGTTTCCCAGGGAAGGATCATGGTTTCCCAGAGAAGGAGCGTGGTTTCCCAGGGAAGGAGCATGGTTTCCCAGGGAAGGAGCGTGGTTTCCAAGGGAAGGAGCCTGGTTTCCCAGGGAAGGAATGTGGTTTCCCAGGGAAGGAGCCTGGTTTCCCAGGGAAGGAGCGTCGTTTCCCTTGTAGGCGCTCGGTGGTGCGGAGGTGCTCAGTGGTCCGAGCCCGGGATGTGGCTGGAACTGTGGCCCATCCCCGAGGTACGGCGTGGCGCACAGCAGAGCCCCACCCAGCATGGACAGCGCCGAGGAGGCAAAACCCAGGTACAGAGCCTGGCCGATCTCGTACTTCATCCCCGAGGGCAGCGTGGGGTTGTAGAACTCCACCACGACGTCGTTGGTGCTCCAGGAGATGGGYGCCAAGCAGAGCAGCCCGGCCACGATGAACCCGGCCCCGCCGCAGGTGGCCGCGGTGGCCTTGGCCGGGCTGCYCTGGGCGCACAGCGTGCACCTCATCCCCACGACGGCCGCGCCGGCCGCGGGCACGGCCAGCAGGCAGGAGATGACCATCATGGCCCGGGCAGCGCGCAGGTCGGGGGGCAGCGCCAGCTGGGAGCGGTAGCCGTGGCAYTGGTAGACGCCGGTGCTGTGCCAGGCGCACTCCATCCACAGCCCCCGCACGTAGGTGACGGCCGTCAAGATGTTGGCGCCCACGTGCGCCGAGCGCCACCAGTGCGGCAGGATGGTGGCGATCACCGTCCCCAGGAAGCCCAGCAGGCCCAGGGAGAAGGCCAGCAGCTCCACAGCCCAGCTGGCCATGGGGATGTCCGTCCTGCCCGAGTTGTCCCAACGAAGCGCCTCCGCTCGGGGTCSCCTCGGAAAACGCCGGGAGAGACGCAGCCGCTTTACTCCGACACCTCCCGCTCTCCTAATAAAAGGTAATGAGGGAAAAAGGAGTTAATTATTACCTCAAATCACTGCCTCTGCAGCCAGTGAGGTGCATTCTGAGAGCGGCGAGGGCAATAATTAGCATAGTTATCACCGTTAATCGTATTTTTGTGGAAGTAATGGCAAAGCAAGCTTCCCTCTTCCCTTACATAAACAGCCTGGCGCTGCTCGCTGGGGAGAAAACTCAGGACAATTTATGAAATGGGAAAAAAAATATTTTAAATGCAAATATTCCTCTTCCCAGCAGGCTCTTCAAAAAAACAAACACAGTTTTCTCCTCTCTAAAGCGGAGAATTAGGCAGTGTTAACACTTGGAATGGAGGAGATTTATAAAGTAGGGAACTTGACACGATGGAAACGTTCCCAGAAGGTCATGGCAGGACTAGGAAAACAATAAGGGCGTATTTGCTCGAAGTGGGGAGCAAAGAGGGTGATTTAAAACCTGTGTAAGAAGATGACAAATATTGGATTAAAGTCACTTTCTTGACTGGCCAGTATTTCTTGGGGTTGCATTTTTAATAAAGCAGCTCAAAGGGGAGTAATTTTGTTGGGACTGTGGAGTTTCAGGCTGTGATTTTAGGGTGTTGGTGAAGGGTGGAATCAGGTGGATATCCCAGAGCTTCCAAGGGGCAGCACCTTCACAGTWTGGTGGTGTATAAATCCAAGGTGAAAAACAAGGAATGGCAGTTCTTCCTTCCGTAAAAATCCCAGGTGAAGAGGCCTTTTCCAATGCCAGGTCTGTTCCACATCATGCATCATGTGTGTGGGCAGAAACCGGATATTTTAATGTATAAAATAACCCCTGCATCAGAATCCAGCCCGGAATTCAGAAACGGGAAGAAAATTTAAGCTCCGGTTCTGCCAAGCCCCCAGTTCCTGCTCAGAGGAGAAAGTGAAAATGTTTACAGGGCCTGGCCYGAGCAGAAAAAGGGAGGAAAACCATCTGAATCAAGGAATGATGCCATCAGGACAGCAGAAGAGAGCAAAGTGAAAGCTGCCCCACATTTCCCTTATCTCAGAGTTATCTCCAGCCAGTCTGGAGTGCTTGGAGTGACCTCAGCACCAGGGTTGGTCTCCTTTGTGGGGCGTTCACTGAGCTTTGCCTGGCAGCAAGGTCATGGAATTATGGAATGGTTTGGGTTGGAAGGGACCTCAAAGATCCTTCGAAGAAGGGACCTCAAAGATCCTGGGCAGGGTCACCTTCCACTGTCCCAGGCTGCTCCCAGCCCCAATGTCCAGCCTGGCCTTGGGCACTGCCAGGGATCCAGGGGCAGCCACAGCTTCTCTGGGAATTCCATCCCAGACTGTCCCCACCCTCCCAGGGAGCAATTCCTTCCCAATATCCCAYCTAACGCTGCCCTCCAYCAGTGTGAAACCATTCCCCTCTGTCCTGTCCCTCCATCCATTTTAWAAGTCTCTCTCTATCTTTCTTGTAGGATGGGGCATCTCTTCCCTAAACAGTCCAGAATCTGTCTTGGATGTTGTGAGAATAAAGGGAAAATTTGAAAAGCACAGGAATTTTATGGCCTGGGCAGAACAGCATCACAGGCTGAGGGTCTTGTGCTCCTACACGTCTGTTTTACCTGGAGTGTGACATGGCATGGGGAGCAATGGGATGTTGGATTTGCTGGCTGGAAGGGAAGAGAAACCCAAGTCTGGCTTTCTTTTAGTGTTCCTGGCTTTGGGAAAGGTTTTTCCTGCTGCTGCCACTGCCTTTCAGACATCCTTCCTGTAACCCATAACAAAAACACCTGGGTTTGTGTGGAATCTGCCTCGTTTGCATACCGTGACAATCACAGAGGGGTTTATATCAGAAATCATCCCAGGGGAGGTCAGGATGCAGATTTCTCTGAGTTATCACAGAATATCATGACAGACCATGAGTTAGGGCTGAGCACAGCACAAAGGAGMAAACTGTTACCTCCAGCACTACTGGAGATATTTTATTTCTGTTCCAACCAGAAAAACTCCTCAGTGTTTGTTTTCCTTCCATGTTATTTGGGTTTGGTTCCTATATTAAGGAAAACTGAGCAGTTTTTTCCTTTTTTATTTTGCTATTTGCTTCCTGTGAGGTGCATCTGGATCTAAGTATGCTGCACATCTCAGAAAAATTATTCTGGGAATGCTCCTCCAGGATCAGAGGGATCTAGACACATTTTTGGRGGACAGCAGGACCATGGGGGACCTCAGGACATCACACAAGAGCTGGAAATGGGGTTTAGGTCCATTAATCCAAGAGCACCACCTCTCACATACCTGGTTTGGCCCAGTCTGGGGATCTCCCACTCCCTCACTGTTTTCCCCTCTCTGCAGATGTGCACGACCCAGATTATCCTGCCCAATTCCACCCAGTGCCCACCACAGAGAGGACAGCTCCAGGTCACCCTGTCCSTTTGCAGAGAGGTCCCTAAGGTCAGGCACGAGGCTTCGCAGCTGATCCCGGGGAGAACAGGATCCCGAAGGAAAATGTGACGGACACCGCCAGCCCCGGGAAACAGACCCCCATTCGATGGAGGTCAGAATGCTCTGGGGCTGGGCAGCAGCTATTTTTAGAGGTCATTAAGGTGCTATTTTTAGCCATCAGCYATTAAAAGCTTTCTAATTTTTGCAGCCAGAGTTAATTAGCCCCRCTTGCTCGACGTCATGTTTTCCATGTGCCTTCCTCAGCTCTTCCAGCTGCCCCCGGTGCTCAGCGACCCTTCCACTGGCAAGTGGTGAAAGCAGCAGGAACTCAGCTCGTTGATCTCCAGGAACATCAGCAGCCTCCTGGGAATGTCTCCAGTTACAGCTCAGCTTCCCCTGGCTCAGGTGAGGAGCACTCAGCGGGGTCAGGGAGCAGCAGCTCAGATGTTTCTTGTGGGCTGAGCCAGGCAAATATTAAATCAAAAATCAGATCAGAGAAATTTTCTTTTCTGCATGGGTTGTGTTTGTTGGTGTTTCTTCAGAAATGGAGCGAATTTTGCTTTCTCACTKGGGGTCACCCTTTTGTCCCAGGGACAGGAGGAGAGAGAACGGCCTCAGGCTGGGCCAGGGGAGGCTCAGGGTGGGCACCAGGAGGAATTTGCCCATGGAAAGGGTGCTCAGGCCTTGGCAGGGGCTGCCCAGGGAGCTTTGGAGTCCCCATCCCTGGAGGTGTCCCAGGAAGGGCTGGAGGTGGCACTGAGTGCTCTGGGCTGRGGACAAGGTGGGCATCRGGCACAGCTGGGACTCCACAATCCTGGAATTCTTTTCCAACCTCAACAATCCTGGGATTCTATCAACCAGAGCAAGCTTTTGTGTGAAAATAAAATGGCATCTGGGATAAAAATCAATTTAAAAAAGAGACAACATCCATGTTTATCCTTCATGACCTTCCAGCCCACATGAGCACTGAGTGACTGCAAAATGATGTGACAATTTATGAAACTCTTGAATTCACTTGCCCTGCCAGGTCATGCCGGCTTCATTTTTGTGAGCACAAGGACTGGAAAGGGGAGTATTCCCTACAAATTGCTGCACAGGAGCAGCCATAGCCAGGATAAATCCTTGAGGAGGATCCATGGGCTCCATCCCAGCTGCCTCGGGAGCCCCGGCTCCAGGGTAAGCTCCGAGCAAACAGCAGAATCCGACGTMGCTAAGCTGGGTATTTACCCGGGATTAAACAACAGATGCACATTTCACTGCTGTCTCTTTCATTGTTTCTCATTTTACTGCCTCCCTGCCCCAGGCAGCCTTTCCTTTCAGTCCCTGCTCTTTCCAAGCCCCTTTTCCAGATCTCTGAGCCATTCCTCTTGTGCTGCTATGCCCCTTCCCTGAGCTGCAGGAGGTTYTGCCAAAAAATTCTAACCCAGTAATTTCCCTATTTCTCCGTGCACCTTTCCCAGCTTAAATTTTACCTTCAGCACCAATTCCATCAGAAATTCTGGAAATTTGCATCGGGAGTGCAAAGTGATGATGGGATGGGATGGGATGGGATGGGATGGGATGGGATGGGATGGGATGGGATGGGATGGGATGGGATGGGATGGGATGATATGATGCTCTTCTTACCAGCTGCAGGACCGAGCCTTTAAGTATGCAAAAAATCATTTTAATTTTTAAATTAATTTTRTTTGATTRATCGCACAYAGYTTGATTAATTAAAGTTTAAGGAGCAGGGCTTTAAGGCGTGCCCAGGTTCACCAGACAGGTGAGTGAGGTTCCACCCCCTGGCTTTGTAAATTCTGCTGTTTCAGCTTCCCAGGCCCTCTCCCTGCTCAATCACTCCTACTCCAAAATTTTCAGGGAAAAAAAAAAAAAAAAAAAGCCTGGCTGGTAAGGAGAACTCCCTGCTTGGATGTGGGCGAGGGTGGGCAGATCCCAGGGGAAGCGAGGCCCTCCTGGCTCAAAGCAAAATTCTTCCCTTCATCCCCCTCTTTTTACTTTTTGAAAGAGGAGAATGGGAAATCAATAAAAGTCTGAAAGGCACCAAGGCTGATCCTGCAGCTCCTCCCACCCCTCCCTGACAGGGATCAGGGCAGTGCAGCTGCTGCCCTGCCAGATGTGCCAGATGTGCACGAGGAGCCTCAGCCCCTCCTGGATTCCCTGGAGCTTCCAGGACCTTCCCTGGGTGCTCCATGGAATTGTAACCAGCCTTGAACCACCTCGTTATTCTCTCAAATTTCCTCACAGGAGCCAGGGAAGGTTTTTGGGATTGTCTTGGCTCTGGGTGCTGCCCTTCCTTTCATGCCTTGTTCCTGCTGGGGGCATGTCACACATCATGTCTGCTGGATTTGAGATTTTCTCTCTTTGAAATACTCCTCAGTGCACACCAGGATTTTGTTTCCATCATGGAATTACGCAGCTTTTCCTGGTGTGTTATTTGGGGATTTCTGTAGAGGAGCAAACTGGAA